CTCGAGGAAATCGACGATCAACGGGAGTACAGGTGATACAGGTGATTTCTATCGTTTTTCTAAGCAAAATTTGCTGAAAAAAATCGCGATAACTATGCATCTACCTAATAATTACATGGTCAATATATGAAGCAGAGCTTCTCAGGTGGGAGTTTGAGAATTACGTCAGCATGCTCAAGGATAAGTAGAGGATATCACATTTCTTAATAAATCCCTGATATTTGATTCCTGATAAATTCCTGATATCTGGGCGGTATGTCGCATTTCGGATAATCAGTGACTTGTCAAGCAGAGTAGCTTTTGTTATAGCTTGCATTGAAGCTGTTTAGATAAACATGTTTTGACTGCACGGACTGGTTTTTCAAACTGTGAAGCCTTCAAGGTGTATTTCCCAGGTACAACCATTTAATCAATAGAACAAGTAAGTAAATAAATAATTACTGACTGATAAACAAGGGTATCACCGTGTAACGGATGTGAGGCATTTCCATTGAAACCCATCGCGATAACTCCAAAATTGTGTTCCTGCGAATAATTTCTATTTCATGATACGGTATTCTTGTGCCGTCCGAGAATGTTAGGTGGGAAAGTTTATCAGTCAACAGCCTAACGTTTCGACGTTTCGTTTTCTTCGAAGACCTAAAACAACTCGAAGCCATTTGCACAGTATCCAAGAAACGCATTATCCCTTGGCGAATGTGACGGCGAATTCAAAACCCATAAATCGAACCATAACTCACCGAGATTCCACCGCTCAAGCGGCCACGGGCGACTGTCAGTAGCGAATGAGATTTATTGGCTGTCTCATATGTACTTATGATAAGGAAGATCACGTTATAGTGCTACTGAGTCACAAGTCGCAGTGCGGTATATATGGGGCTCTTGTTCTTCATATCAGAATGGGATGAGAAAGACTACATCTCTTTTCAACGACGGAGCGCCTTTTGACCCTGTCCGAAGACCGCGAATTTGTGGAATTTTTTGATTTGGTGTTAGTGGTTCTCCGTAAAGGCTCATGTTCATCTGATAGTTGGCAAATATGATCATTCCTCCCATTGCTTGCTTCCGTGCTAAGTTGCAGTTAGCTTTTGCCATCTAACATCTTGTTTATCGTCGTAATTGACTATTTCCCTTCGTATCATATCGTCAACACAATACTGTCCTCTAACCAGGGAAGGATCCCAACTCGAAGTGGCCATTTGAAGTAAGACCTATACTGCTAGACGTGTTTTGGGGCGCTGAATTCAAATCCGCTTTCCAAATCTGCCAAGCGATTCTCTGA